AACAATTTCATTAGTTTTAAAAAATATACTTTTCCCCTTTTTCTTTCCCAATGGATGCATAAATGCTTCATAATTCCAAATACCAAATTCAACAGCTATATTTCATACATTTACCCAAATCATAATCACAACTTGTAAAAGAATATTTTAAACATTTATTTCTACGATTATGACATCAAATTTACATAGCAATTGAAATATGTAAAGTAAACAACTTGTCATTTCTAAGCATGCTTCTTCACTACAATGATGTAACTAAATTTACAAACTCATTTATCACATAGCATACATCCACCACTTTACATATAATCAACCATAATCACATAGTCAAAATAATTGAAATTAAACATGCTTATAGTCAATTTAAGAAGGAAAATTCACATAGAACCTAAGAAATTGTGAATTAGAGCACCCCTACCTCAAAAGTAGCCAAAATACATCCCCGGCCGGAAAAGTCAACGCAGTCAATGCCGGTCAACAAAAGTCAACGTCAGTCAACGGCTGTGGAACAGAAAACTATTCGGTGGGAACGTAGCCGTCGACGAGGAGATTCTACTGTTCCAAAGGTTCAACTCCGGAATCCGACTCTAAGTGGCCCAAAACCCCTCTCCGAAGCCTTAGATCCAAAAATTTCAAAAATTCGTAAAATAATCAACGCTCCTCCAAAAATTAAATCCTTTGAGAATGTGATAGAGAATGACGAGAGGAACGTTTTCCGTCAGGAACCAAGACCGAAAACCTGACCGATTAGCCGGAAAATGGAAGAGAAAATCGAAGCCTCAAGAAAAAAGAAAAATGAAAATGAAATGAGAGGAGAGAGAGAGCTACGTGAGAAAGAGAGATTTATGGCCAAAAAGAAAGGCTAAGTGACATATGATATATGTGTATATCATGTGGGGCCCACCAAAAAAAATATCTTCTTTTTACTCTTTTTATATATAAACATATATACACACACTAAATACTTCACAACCACACATTTCCAAACATATAACCACATAAATATACATCATCAAATAATGTATGAAAAATAACAACCCCGAAAAAAATAATTCCCATGCACAACAATACCGGTTGCGGGTCCCGCCGGGGACCTCTCCGCCCGAAAAACTGAAAAATGCCGAAATAGCCAACAATACATTTCTAAGAATCCTGCACTCGAAGAAATGCTCCAACCAAGTCTCGGACACACCCAGCACATCCCATAGTGTCCGGTACGCAAAACGAGAAAAAGACAAAATCGCTCTCGAAAAATTCAAAAAATTTCAGAAAATGGAAAATGGAAAAAATTGAAAACATTACAGTAGAGAACAGTTGGCAACAGCCCTTTAAAGTATAAAAGGCGTGGCAAGGAGGGTTCTAAGGCTCAAACCTTAATTCGGCACATGCTAGACGATGGGGGGTCCACTTGGAGTCTTGCATAATTAGGGGGTTTGGTCAAATTTCATTATTTTGGTAATTGCATTAATTATGGAAGATCTGCATTGTTTTGGTAAATTGCATGATTTGATTAAATTGCATCAATTAGATAATTTGTTACTTTATTGAGTCAACTTTTGATTACCTCCATTGTAGGGTAATCCAAGGGTCATCTTTTATTATAAAAGGATACTATGTAATTCTGAATACGGAGCGAATGATTGAATAAAATTATCCTTTGAGAATTCTTTGTGAGTGATTCACAAATTCTGAGGGTGTGAGGCCTTCTCTAGGTGTGATACCTTAGGTCCTATCGGAGATTCCAATAGGCTTTTCTTTGTTATTTTCAATCCTTCTTTTCTACTAACAACCCCTGAATCTTAGCTTTGTTTATGAATTTCCAGCCCATTAACTCTTATTTACTTTCTTCTATTTGAGCCTATCCTTTGTCCTACATCAGTTTTGGTAGCAGAGCCTAAGTAGACATTATGTTTACTCAATCGGGCAATGAAAGATTGGACAATAATCAGAAGACTGAGTTGCTGCTACAAATTTTGAAAAAGCTTGAAGGGCTGAATGCTCAATGCGATAGGATAAGAGCTCGATTTCCCAGCCTTTTAACAAATCGGTAGCCCTTAAAGAAGAATATGCATTGGGTACTAATGATGGCAGAAACCGCAAGCAACAACAGCCTTTACACTCTCTGCAAAGGTGTTGTTGAATACTGATCCACCACTCCATCCCATGTTGGAGTTTCCAAGAAATCCATTAGAGATGAATCATCATGAGCCACATGATGTTGCTAGAGATGTTACAAAGAAGTTACATGATGGAACTCACCGCACACAAACAACAACAATGCAGCCAAATGATGGATCAAAACCATCTTTATCTAACATGGCTGATCCTGAAGGAAAGAGTACGATGGCTAGCAAGGATTGTGAGAACCTGCTTGATGATGAGACCTTCAACACTGATCATGTGAAAGAAGTTGGAGAGATTGTTTCGTTCATCTCCATTGTGACGCACATCCTTGAAGACCCTAAAGTTGGTTGCAAAGATGGACAGCGGACCTCTAATTTTGAGATGCAGGTTCATTGTGGAAACCAAGCTCAGAAGCCTATTAGTGATGGCGGTGGCAGCCCAAATGTTGTCTCCACGGCCATGGTTAAGCGTCTCAAACTTTCCACAGTCCAAATCCTTGAAGACCCTGAAATTGAAGACGGAGATGGACGGCTGAACTCTAATTTTCAGATACAAGATCATTGTAGAAATCAAGCTTGGAAGCCTACTATTGATGGCGGTGGCAGCCCGAATGTTGTCTCCACAGCCACGGTTAAGCGTCTCAAAATTTCCATCAAACCATATCCACAGCCATTCAAAGCATCTTGGATAGATAGTACTTCTATTCTGAATCTTCCAAAAGATGCGGCTATTGGAGTAGATACTTGGTGTATATTAGTGGGCACTGCAAAGAAATGGGAGCATGCTTGTGCCAAGAAGCAACATAAGCTGGTTCAGATATCCACCAACTTGGTAGATGAGGTCTGGAAAAACCAACTGTCAGAAGAAACTAATCCTGTAAGTGATAAGCTAGAGGGGTCTCGTGCATCAAAAAATCATTTTAGAGGGTTAAGTTTTCCTACTATTTCCTCAGTTGGTCCTAATGCAGCAATTATGCATTATAAACTAGAGGAGAAAACATGTTTAGGACTTGATCCAAACAGCATTTGTCTATTCGATTTTGGAGCACAGCACATAGATGGAACCAACTGGGTTGCTCTTTATGTTCTTGCTCGAATACATTCGTGGAAGGATAGCCTTGAGTTTCGACATGGTACTGGCCTTGGAGTTCGTATCAGACGTGATGGGTCAGATGCTAATTTTGTTATGGGGTTGCCTAGAACTAGGCGAGGACATGATGCTATAACCATTGTTCTGGATTTTTTTTCAAAAAAGGCGCATTTTCTTCTATGTTCTAAGACCTCCAATGCTGTCCAAGATGCCAAACCTTTTTTTCAAGAAGTTGTCCGACTTCATGGGTTGCACAACACTATTATTTCTGATCGAGCTTTGAAGTTTATGCGTTGTTTTCTGGTGCAAATTGCTGAATACAAGGCTGAAATTTTCTTGCTTTTTTCATACTTATGAGCAATTTCATCCCTTTAACTCGACTGAGCTGAGTTTTTCCAAGCCGGAGAGAATTGGTAGAGAACAGTTGGCAGCAACCTTTTAAAGTATATAAAAGGCGTGGCAAGGAGGGTTCTAAGGCTCAAACCTTAATTCGGCACATGCTAGATGATGGGGGGTCCACTTGGAGTCTTGCATAATTAGGGGGTTTGGTCAAATTTCATTATTTTGGTAATTGCATTAATTATGGAAAATCTGCATTGTTTTGGTAAATTGCATCAATTAAGTTATTTGTTACTTTATTAAGTTAGAGTCAACTTTTGATTACCTCCATTGTATGGTAATCCAAGGGTCATCTTTTATTATAAAAGGATACTATGTAATTTTGAATACGGAACGAATGATTGAATAAAATTATCCTTTGAGAATTCTTTGTGAGTGATTCACAGATTCTGAGGGTGTGAGGCCTTCTCTAGGTGTGATACCTAGGTCCTATTGGAGTGATTCCAATAGGCTTTTCTTTGTTATTTTCAATCCTTCTTTTCTACTAACAACCCCTGAATCTTAGCTTTGTTTCTGAGTTTCCAGCCCATTAACTCTTATTTACTTTCTTCTATTTGAGCCTGTCCTTTGTCCTACATCAGGTTGAAGCTTCATTCTTTCAAGTTTCAACCCCTGAATTTGACACCACATTTATTGAACTTCCTTTATTTGACTGACGGGACCTACAAACAATTAATTAAAATATAACAAATATAAAAAATTCTAAATATAAATAATAAATAGAGTGTGTTCTTTTATTCGACACATCCTCGTGATCTTCAATGTGATCTTCAACCACATTGGAGACGTGTAAGGAATAGATTGGTACATATCCAATCATCTTACTTTAGAGAACTAATGCAACCCGTGTCAAGACATTGTTGTGGGTCTAATCTTCTTTCCAATTTCTCACATGGCTAGGGAATGGCTCAATTTTATTCACATCATCTAAAGTACTTAGGTGAAGGATACCTGCATTCTAAGACTCGATGTGGTAGAACAACTTGAGGTCTCCTGGCAGAATTTTGGACTCAACTCTATGTGAAACTAGTTTTTCTCGTTTTGAGGATATCTATCTAGATGAACAAGAAATAAAGAAAATACCACTATAAATTGTGAAGAAATAACAAAGGATATTAAATGAACCCCAATACATGACCCCAATTAATTAAGTAAACCAAATTATAAATTATAACAATGCTCACACAAGAAGCAAAAATTCATGTAAGGTAAATGATGCGAGGCAGTATTGTGTATGAACCAATTAATTCGATGCGAAGGGATTGGGTGCAAAATAGTGATGCAAAAATAAGAGAATGATGCAGGTTCTAGTATGGACCTTTTGCAAATTTATTGGCTCAACAAACGGATAACAGTACTTAGAACAATTCTCAAGGAAGACTGTGTACCTTTACCGAGTCCGATTTGAGTGTCCGTAGATGCTTGGAAGTGGCACTGCAAGGCGTATGAGAGAGAAATCCTAATCCAAATATTTTTCTGAGGTTTTTTGTTTTTTTGGTTGGTCTACTGCTGAACTATTCTGTTGTGGCTCTAAAATTGGGCTGATCTTCTGAACTGGGCTAAAAGCTTGGGCCTGAATAATCATCAATCTGCTGCTTCCTGAGATGGGCTGGATCTAAAACTAGACTAGGCTAAAACAAATAATCCGCTATTATCCAAATCTGGGCTGCTGAATTTATTTTTTTTTTCCTTTCTGGATTCCTGTTGTACAGGGCTGACTCTGATCTTTCCAAACCAATGTGAAATCAAAATCTGACTTTCCCAAAATCAATTGCAAAGACACCAGATGACGATGCTGATTTTATGGCCGGTTTTGCAACGCGTGACGGCAGCAAGTATCCAAAATTCTCGGCACTGATTTTTATGCTATGGCGGCTTGATTCCAGTGACGTAGAAGTAAGAGGTAGACGGCAATGGTGATTTCAGTGCTGTGACAGTCGATGATAACGACTAGAAGTCCTGTTCTTCTCTCTCTCTCTCTCTCTCTCTCTCTCGGTCAGCCACTGTGATATTTTGGCATCAGCAAGGCTGTAGTGGCGGTGGAGATGGAGGTTTGGAATTGGGGCTGGCGGCTAGGGTTTGGATTTTGTGGTTGGGTTGCTAAGATTGGGTTTATAGGTATTCAGGTGTTGGTTTGTGGATGAATTTCGGGTTGCTTGGGTATGGTGATTGTAGTTTTGGGTTAGAATTTTGGTTTCACAGTAGGTTATGGGTTTGGCTTGTTTGGGGGTACGACTGATGGTGGTGGGTCGAGTGCAAAAGGGATTTGGTTTTGTTTGTTGGGGTTAGGGCTTGTTTGGATGTTTGTTTGGGTTATGCAGAGTGTATTTGTTTGGATGAACAGTAACAGTACTTGATTTGTGCATGAACAGTAGGGTTTAGTAACAACATTGTTGATTGTTCCTATGACGCACTTGGATCTTCTGCTCTAATACCAGTTGACGCAGGACAAGTAGTGTTTAAAAAGTAACCATAAAGAAAGAAGGGGATGAGAATGAGAAGATGAGATGAGGCGAGACGAAGGAGGTGAGACGACAGACGAATGGGGATGAGAATAGGGTAGGAAATCGGGATCCCGTGGTGGAGAGGTTCGAGAGAAGGTTGGCAAGATGGAATAAAACAACTCAAAGGGTGGAAGGGTTACTTTGATGAAGAGCACTTTGTCAAGCCTCCCTAATTATTTTCTCTCTTTTTGAGATTCCCTATTTTGTGGTTGACAAGATTGAGAGGTTACAGTGAAATTTTCTATGAGGGAAGGGGAAGGAGTTTAAGTATCATTTGGTCAACTGGAAGCAAGTGTATAGCCCTATTCGAAAAGGTGGGTTGGGTATTAGAAGTCTGACTCCTTTCAATAAGGCCCTCTTGGAGAAGTGGCTACGGAGGTTTGGGGTGGAGAGGCATAGATTGTGGAGGAGGGTAATTGCCTGTATATTTTGGGAGATCAAAGGTGGATGCTGCTCTTTGGAGGTGAGGATTCCACGTGGAGTTGGGATTTGGAAATTCATCCGGAAGGAGTGGGATGAATTTCCTAAACAAATTAGGTTTCGAGTTGGTGGTATAGAACAACCCAAGTAGAGAATAGTGGCAACAGCCTTTTAAAGTATATAAAAGGCGTGGCAAGAAGGATTCTAGAGAACAATGGCAGCAGCCTTTTAAAGTATATAAAAGGCATGGCAAGAAGGATTCTAGAGCTTAAACCTTAATTTGGCAAATGCTAGACGATGGGGGGTCCATTTGGAGTCTGTATAATTAGGGGGTTTGGTCAAATTTCATTATTTTGGTAATTGCATTAATTATGGAAAATCTGCATTGTTTTGGTAAATTGCATAATTAGATTAAATTGCATCAATTAAGTTATTTGTTACTTTATTAAGTTAGAGTCAACTTTTGATTACCTCCATTGTAGGGTAATCCAAGGGTCATCTTTTATTATAAAAAGGATACTATGTAACTCTGAATACTCAACGAAAGATTGAATAAAATTATCCTTTGAGATTTCTTTGCGAGTGATTCACAAATTCTAAGGGTGTGAGGCCTTCTCTAGGTGTGATACCTAGGTCCTATTGGAGTTATTCCAATAGGCTTTTCTTTGTTAATTTCAATCCTTCTTTTCTACTAACAACCCCTGAATCTTAGCTTTGTTTCTGAATTTCCATCCCATACCTCTTATTTACTTTCTTCTATTTGAGCCTGTTCTTTGTCCTACATCAGTTTTGGTATCAGAGCCTAAGTAGACATTATGTTTACTCAATCGGCCAATGAAAGATTGGACAATAATCAGAAGACTGAGTTGCTGTTACAAATTTTGGAAAAGCTTAAAGGGCTGAATGCTCAATGCGATAGGATAAGAGCTCGAACTTCCCAGCCTTTGAACAAATCAGTAGCCCTTAAAGAAGAATATGCATTGGGTACTAATGATGGCAGAAACCGCAAGCAACAACAGCCTTTACACTCTCTGCAAAGGTGTAATTTGAATGCTGATCCACCACTCCACCCCATGTTGGAGTTTCCAAGAAATCCATTAGAGATGAATCATCATGAGCCACATGATGTTGCTAGAGATATTACAAAGAAGTTACATGATGGAACTCACCGCACACAAACAACAATGCAGCCAAATGATGGATCAAAACCATCTTTATCTAACATGGCTGATCCTGAAGGAAAGAGTACGATGGCTAGCAAGGATTGTGAGAACCTGCTTGATGATGAGACCTTCAACACTGATCATGTGAAAGAAGTTGGAGAGATTGTTTCGTCCATCTCCATTGTGACGTGCATCCTTGAAGACCCTAGAGTTGGTGGCAAAGATGGGCAGCAGACCTCTAATTTTGAGACGCAGGTTCATTGTGGAAACCAAGCTCAGAAGCCTATTAGTGATGGTGGTGGCAGCCCAAATGTTGTCTCCACCGCCATGGTTAAGCATCTCAAACTTTCCACAGTCCAAATCCTTGAAGACCCTGAAATTGAAGACGAAGATGGCTTAACTCTAATTTTCAGATACAAGATCATTGTGGAAATCGAGTTTGGAAGCCTACAATTGATGGCAGTGGCAGCCCAGATGTTGTCTCCACAGCCATGGTTAAGCATCTCAAAATTTCCATCAAACCATATCCACAACCATTCAAAGCATCTTGGATAGATAGTACTTCTATTCTGAATCTTCCAAAAGATGCGGCTATTGGAGTAGATACTTGGTGTATATTAGTGGCCACTGCAAAGAAATGGGAGCATGCTTGTGCCAAGAAGCAACAGAAGCTGGTTCAGATATCCACCAACTTGATAGATGAGGTCTGGAAAAACCAACTGCCAAAAGAAACTAATCCTGTAAGTGCTAAACTAGAGGGGTCTCGTGCATCAAAAGATCATTTTAGAGGGTTGAGTTTTCCTACTATTTCCTCAGTTGGTCCTAATGCAGCAATTCTGCATTATAAACTAGAGAAGAAAACATGTTTAGGACTTGATCCAAACAGCATTTGTCTATTCGATTCTGGAGCACAGTACCTAGATGGAACCAACTGGGTTGCTCTTTATGTTCTTGCTCGAATACATTCGTGGAAGGATAGCCTTGAGTTTCGACATGGTACTGGCCGTGGAGTTCGTATCAAAGGTGATGGGTCAGATGCTAATTTTGTTATGGGGTTGCCTAGAACTAGTCGAGGACATGATGCTATAACCATTGTTCTGGATTTTTTTTCAAAAAAGGCGCATTTTCTTCTATGTTCTAAGACCTCCAATGCTGTCCACGATGCCAAACCTTTTTTCCAAGAAGTTGTCCGACTTCATGGGTTGCACAACACTATTATTTCTTATCGAGCTTTGAAGTTTATGCGTTGTATTTTGGTGCAAATTATGAAAATGGCTGAATACAAGGCTCAAATTTTCTTGCTCTTTTCATACTTATGAGCAATTTCATCCCTTTAACTCATCGGAGCCAAGTTTTTCCAAGCCGGAGAGAATTGGTAGAGAACAACCCAAGTAGAGAACAATGGCAGCAGCCTTTTAAAGTATATATAAGGCGTGGCGAGAAGGATTCTAGAGAACAGTGGCAGCAGCCTTTTAAAGTATATAGAAGGCGTGGCAAGAAGGATTCTAGAGCTCAAACCTTAATTTGGCAAATGCTAGACGATGGGGGCTCCACTTGGAGTCTTGCATAATTGTGGGGTTTGGTCAAATTTCATTATTTTGGTAATTGCATTAATTATGGAAAATCTGCATTGTTTTGGTAAATTGCATAATTAGATTAAATTGCATCAATTAAGTTATTTGTTACTTTATTAAGTTAGAGTCAACTTTTGATTACCTCCATTGTAGGGTAATCCAAGGGACCTCTTTTATTATAAAAAGGATACTATGTAACTCAGAATACTCAACGAATGATTGAATAAAATTATCCTTTGAGATTTCTTTGTGATTGATTCACAAATTCTGAGGGTGTGAGACCTTCTCTAGGTGTGATACCTAGGTCCTATTGGAATGATTCCAATAGGCTTTTCTTTGTTAATTTCAATCCTTCTTTTCTACTAATAACCCCTGAATCTTAGCTTTGTTTCTGAATTTCCAGCCCATACCTCTTATTTATTTTCTTCTATTTGAGTTTGTTCTTTGTCCTACATCGGTTGGGGATGGCAACAAGATTGGACATGTTTCTGGGAGGATTTATAGTGTGTTGATCATTCTCTTGCCCTCTCTTTCCCTAAACTTTTCAGGATTGCCAACAGACAGACGTACCCTGCTATTTGACTGCTATCGCCTTGATGGTGGGAGATTATCATGGGACATGCGCTTTCTGAGGCACTTTCAAAACTGGGAGACTGAGGATGCTTTTGGTTTTTTTGGAGTTATTGTATCGCCAGGAGATTGTGGATGGATTTCCTGAATTTATGGTTTGGGTTCCTTCTTCCCAGGGCATTTTGAGGTTCAGTCTTTCTATAGGTGTCTTACTGACGTTCCAGCAGATTTGTTCCCATTGAAGGCTATTTGGTGTTCCAAGGCACCTCTCAAAGTGGCTTTCTTCACCTGGACATTTGTCTTGGGGAAGATTGACCCAGGATAATCTTAGGAAGAGGAGCCAAGTAGTAGTCAACTGTTGTAGCATGTGCTTGAGAAATGACGAGTGAGTTGATAATCTTCTTTTGCACTGCCCAGTAGCTAGCGACTGTTGGGTTTTGATGCTGACTTTATTCGGGGTTCAGTGGGTTATGCCCAAGTCTTCTAGAGGGTTGGATAGGATATGCAGTGGGCCCAAGTTCGTGATTTCTGGAGGGTCACACCTTTATGCGTCTAGTGGTGTTTATGGCTTGAAAGAAATAGAAAATCTTTTGAATGGAAGGAGACCCCTATTGGCGCGCTAAAGTTCTCCATTATTAACACTCTTTTTTGTTGGGTTCTAAGGAAAAATTGTAAATTTATAGACCCCTATTGGCGCACTAAAGTTCTCCATTATTAACACTCTTTTTTGTTGGGTTCTAAGGAAAAATTGTAAATTTATGGATGAAATAGTTGATTTTTTGGATTCCTTGAGAGTTTAGAGGCCCTATTTGGTCTTGTGTAGTTTTTGAGGGATGCGTTCCCTAAGAACAGCAAGAACACTAGGGAGAGAAGACACAAAAGGGGGAGTTCGCAAACTCAACGATGCTATTCAATATTCCAAAACTGAATTGCTTGTTTATAAAGAAGCCTTTATATAGGTGAAACAATAAGCAAACCCTAATATATGAAAATACTAAAATAACCCTAAAAATAAAACATTGCCAAAATAACAAAGAACAATAATGTAGCCCTAAATTACAAAAATTCCTAATTCTATTTCTCTTTTCCTCTTCTCCAAAAGTAATATTGGAACACGTGCAGCTCATGTGTGTGAATCACACCCCGTTCCCCACCACCATGACCCCTTCTTTTCGTGGCCATCCTCCATATTGTTTCTCTCTACGGATGGATGCAACTCTTTTTTATGCACATGGTTTTTGAGTTGAAGAGAGTTAACCTTACTTACCCAAAAAGGGTGGGGTGGGATGTTAGGTGGTGGGAAGTATAACCCATTTCCCTTTTGTTAACTAACAAGTAATGGCAGGGGGAAATTCACAAAGTTTTACAACAGTATTGGGGTTAAACGCAAGATTGCTAGTTTAGGGGGTATTTTTTTTCCCCCTGAATGTGTTGAATTTTATTAAGACAAAAGATAGACAATAGTGTACAATCAGAAAAGATCGGTATAGACTGATCCAAAAGAAGCCTAAGGCATACCCAAGGCAAAAAAACAAAAGGCTCCTGAGCTATAAAAGCTGCAAGAACAAAATGGAAAACAAATTTCAAAGCAAGGACATAAAATCAGACAATGAAAGTCCTAGAGCTGAAATTCCTTCAAAACAAGCCACTATAGCTAACTGATGAGAGAGGTTCTTTGTATTTTGGCCGAATCTTTAAAATGGTTGATGTTGCATTTAGTACTATGAAATTGGTTATTGGAAGCAAAATTAAAGCATCGATTGCATGATGCCAAACATATATAACTTGAATATAGCTTTTTTAAGTTAAGTAATATGTTTCAGCAAATTTTTTTGATTAAGTTTAAAATAATTATAGGAAACATTAATATTGCTTCGGGACAGTTGTATGACATCATAAATTCTATAATTTATTAGTAAAATTGAGGGGCAATAATTCAAGCATTCAAAGACATGCAGCTAATGAATCAACTAACATATATTCAACTCTATGAATGCTTGATACCAAATGGTGCCAGTGAAAGAAATTCAAGGAGATTACCCGTCTTCTAATACCAGCCCTGCCAAATCTGCAACTTCTCTCAAAGCTTCCTTCCACCTCTTTATCTTGTTCACCCCCTCCCCCTTTCTTTCATCTGCCTCCTCGAATCTCAGCTGTTCGTGTTTCACAAATGCCTCTCCAAAACTTCCCGTTTGCTTCCTAACATGGGACGGATCCACATGGTAGAAGATGGGCAAAATCATATGACCAACACTTCTCTTGCGTTCAAGGATCTTCAAAAGTTCATCAAGGCACCATCTTGAAGATGCATAGTCTTTTGAGATGACAATTACTGAAATCCTTGACTCTTCGATTGCTTTTATCAGTTCTGAGGAGATATCATCTCCTCTCCCAAGTTCATCATTATCCTTAAACGTGCGTATTCCTGCATGTAGCAAAGCTGTATAAAGGTGATCGGTAAAGGTCTTCCGGGTGTCTTTACCATTGAAACTCAAGAAAACGTGATAAGAACACCGAGTTGAGGAGGCTTCTTCGGGTCCCATAGAAACCACCGAACAAAGATCAAGGAGATCAATGATCAAGTGCTATACACAATCTGTATAATCACCACCAATATTTGTATATATAAGATGTCAATAAATAAATAAACAATATTATGTACTGTAATAAACAAAATTAATATTTTCTGTATATTTTGTATATAAGAAAATACAATTAAAAAGGGGGGGATTTAGTAAACTATACACAAGGCAAGGGTTGAATGGAAAACAAATGTAGCGAAAAGTGCAGACAAATACAAGTGCTTTAAATTGGTTTCACAAAGATTTTAGCTTAACTCAATAACCCAACAAAATTTCCTCAATTATTTGATGTGAAAGTCTTCTGTAACATCCA